CACCCTGAGTCATCTAAAATCTATTTTGCTTGTCTTCCAAAATTGGGGCTTAGCTAGAAACTTGAAGAGACAGTGCCCAACGTTAACCTCCGTCCGCTGACAGCCTGTACCCTTCTCCCCAACTCATGGCTGAGAGTCTTGGATTTGAGTGGCCAGAAGTTATTTTCCCACTATTCCCTCTACGTACGTTTATTGAGCACCTTCCATAGGCCAACCACAGGGACATAAAATAGACTCCAGATGGTCATAATCAAACAGGTCATGCCACCATGGTTCGCCAATATAAGAAAAATGTCTTAGTTAGCCAAGTATCAAGGTTGGGAGCAAGCAGAAAAGATCACCTGCTCTAGCCTTTTGCCTCTGGGAGGGTGACCCTCCCAACCAGTCTTTCTATAATTAAGGGCTTCCAGATGACTGTGATGTCACAGACATTGATTCTGCCTTGTAGACTTTACAGCTATGTGAGTATATTGGTTTCCCAGGGCTGTCACAACAAAGTACCACAAACTGAAAGGCTTCAGTAATAGAAATTTATCGTCTCACAGTTCTGGAGTTAAGAGGTCCAAAATCAAGGTGTCAGCAGGGTTGGTTTCTTCTGAGGGCTGTGAGGGAAGGATCTGCCCCCAGGCCCCTCTCCTTGGCTTGTAGATGGCCGTCTACTCTCTCCTTTTTATAAGGACACCAGTCATATTGAACTAGGGCCCACCTAATGACCTCATTTTAACTTGATTACCTCTGTAAAGACCCTATTTCCAAACAAGGTGGCATTCTAAAGTACTGGAGGCCAGGACTTCAACATATGAAACAGGAGGAACATATTTTGGGGAGACACAATTCATTGCATAATAATGAGTGTCTGTAAAATTGCTTTAACTTAAAGCTCTAAGGCAGCCTGTAGCAGCACAGTAGAGTCAGAACACTAAAGGGTTAAGCATTCCATGTTCAAGTTCTAAATTAGCCACAGCCCCTCTCCGAGCCTCAGACTCCTTCTGCAGAGAATGAGAGAGGTGGACCAGGCCTCCAGAGCCCTCTCACATCCCCAGGATTGCGTTGCTGGGGATGTAAGAGAAGCTGAGGCAGCACACTCACAAGCACGCTCATCTTAAGCAAGCAATGATCTTCTGAGCCTCAGGGTTTTTTGTTTTTTTTTTTAACTCTAAAGGGAGGACAGTGGTAACAGCGACTTCCAAAAGGTTCTGAGGACTAATCAGGCCTGAGAATTGCCTGGCACACAGCTGTCACTCTGTGTGTGTGAACAGCTACTGGTACCACTGCTACTTTTACTATTAGGAGTCAGCTCGCAGGTGCTGTCCACCACCGAAGGCAGGGGTAAGCGCCCCCGTGTCCCATCCAGTAGCTCACCAGTGAGAGGCTTCAGCTGGCAGACTCCTGTGACCCTTGTGACATGCCTTTCCACATCTTCACCTTACCCAAATCCCACCCCTCCTATTTACCTTACTCACATTCACATCATTAGGGTTAGGGTTAGGATTTTAGGTGATTTTTTTTCCTATGTTTTATAAATTTTATATACCACAGAAAAATGTAGTGAAACATACTTAATTACCTCATTTAACAGAGCTTTACGGAGCAGCTACGTAAATGCAGCCCCGTGGGCTCCCTCCCACGTGAACACTAGGTTGCCTGAGGTCTGCGGTCATCATCTGACTCTTGCCTTCACTGAACCGTTAACTTTTTCTCATGTGTGTCCTCAATGAGTCTTCCCACTCAAATTTAGCAAAGCTTATAAAATACCTCATAATCCTCCCACAACCTGATGAGGCAGGTAATGGTACTCCCGTATCACAGAGAGGTCACGTGGGTAGGCAGTGGCCAAGCCAGGATCCAGTTCTACCTCTGTCTGACTCTGAGGCCACCAACCTAGCCTACTGCTATCCTCACCAAGCCATACCAGCTCAGAAGGCTAGTGGGCCCCTGTCCCTCTCCTAGGATCCTCCAGCCTGAGCAGGGTTTTCCGCGGCCTTGGTGCCCCCTGGCGGCAGGCGCAGGCCCGTTCCCCAGCATGGCTTAGGGCTCATTGCACTTCAGGCTCGGGACCCTAAGCACTTGAAAGAGCAACCAATGGGCTGGCCCTGGTGTAGCGGAGCCCTGTGCACCCAGGGGAGGGCTAGACCTCTACCAGAGCGTCACTTTTTAAGTGGACCCCCCAGGAGGGTTCTGCTCCTGACAGGTCAAGGAAGAGGGCTTAGGGTCCCAGCCAACAGCAGTCAGATGACTTACAAGGTCTGGTTCGCACCCCTATTCCGGCTTCTCATCTCCCCATTCCCAGCCAGCACATGTGGGCATTGGGCATTCTCTGCCGGACCCTCCTGGGATTTCCATTTTCCAGGCACTTGCATATGGAGGACAGGAGGAAGAAGAGGATAAAGGTGGTTAAAGCTGAAGACTTAAAGTTTCTTTACATTATACAGAGTCCTCTTCTCAAAGAACCCATCAAGATTCTTCAATAAAAATGTACTGGATTCCTATTACGCTCCACAGCACTCAGGGAGCAGAAATGGAGAAGACACTCTTCCTGACTTGAAAAGCAAGCATAAAAACAATACAACGAGGCAAGTATTCCAATATGGGTGTCCTGGGACTTTTCTTGTCACCCCCAAAATGGTTATTAGCACTCAAAACTGAGAATAAAGGATCATCAAACCATCCACAAGCTGAAGAAACTAGAAAATAATTAGGGGTCAGACGTCTCCTCCAACTAACCATCACCCCAAGCCCCCAGCACTTCCCCAGCGTATATAAGCCATTCAGCTCCCTCTGCCCAGATGGGCAGGGGCAAAACAGCAACAAGGCACAGAAAGAGAGGTTGGTGTGGAGTAGCCTGCCCTCCCACCTACGGACCCACAAGGATGTTTAGACCAGTGGTCATCCTCTACCTACTTCCTCATTTTCCCTTCAGAGGCCTTTCTTAACAGCTTCAAATATGATCACCAGCTTTTCTGAGAATCCTATCATCACTGATCTGGCTTTGAGATAATCAGAGATAGCCCGGAGCGGCATTAGCCAAGGGTAGCCACTAGCCACACATGGCTCCATCAAACACCTAAAATGTGGCTAGTCTGAATAGAAATGTGCTGTCGGTGTAGACACCGGAATTTGAAGACTTAGTAAAACGGGCAGGGAATGTTAAAAATATCTTCGTATTTACATGTTGAAATGACACTATTTTGGACATTGTATTTGGACAAATAGTATATTATTAAAATTAATTTCACCTTTTTTACTTTTTCAGTGTGGTTACCAGACTATTTAAAATTACAGATGAGGCTCACATTACATTTCTACTGAAGTCTCTGCCCTGAAGGTTGAAAAGCCAGAGCTGAGAAGCCCTAGTCCAGCAAAGCTTTACACCATGCGGGACCACAAGGGGGCGGTACTGCAGTGCCGAGCTGCCTCGGGCAGGAACTGGGCAGCAAGAGGGCTCATTCCTTACATTTTCTAATGCTGTCTTTTAAGGGTAGTTCTAAACTACTTTTTCTAAAATTTAAATGGCTCACATTATGTGACCCTTAAGTTAACAGAAATTATTTCTCTAGGGCAGGAGTCTAAAAACTCTTGAATTACAACATTCAAGGCTGGAATTTTAAAGAACTGCAAGTTTCTCACCATCCCAGCTACGGAATGAAAAGGGACTCCGAAGCCAAGTCAAGGGGGCGGCCTTGAAGCTGGACCCCAGATCAGAAGGTGGACTGTTGAGTAAAAGCTGAGGGTAAGAGGGTTGGAGAAAAGGGAGATCCAAGAGTGACATTAGGAGGACTTAAGCACAGGGTATCGGCCTGTGGGGGATGGGCGAGACTATGGCCATACTTATCCTATTTTCATCAAATGCTACCAATCTGAGTGTAAATTGGTACCACGTTTCGGGGTGGAGCGGGGGGAGACAATTTGTAAGTGTATAGCAAAAGCCTTAAAAATGTCCATATCCTTCAACCAATTAATTCCATTCTAGTAACTTACCATAAGGAAAATTTTAAACTACACACATATTTGGCTGGTATTTATCCAGCATTTCTAATAGTCAAGAAAGGCCCGAAATAACAACAACAACAACAACAACAAAAAAAACTATAAGCCACTTAATTGTACATTAATAAGGGGTTGGTTAAATCGATTAAGGAACCGCTATAAAGTGCAGTATTTTGTAAGTATTACAAAGGCTGTAAATGAATATTTACTGATATGGAAAGACATTTATGCTAAATTCTGCGACAAATGCCAGCTACAGAATTATATGTCCAGTATGTGTGGCAATTTTGCTTAAAAAAGTAAAAAAGCATACCTTTGCAAAAACAATTGGCTGAAAATATTCTCTGAGGTATTAATGGTCATTTCTGGACAGAGATTATGGGTGGGCTTTCTTTTCTTATTTTTACAACTGCTTTTATAAACTTTTTAAAGGATTGTTTTTAAAGATTGTTTTTAAGTAATTCTACCCAGTCTTTATCACAAGTAACACCACCTTTCCCAAACTTTCTGGAGCCCTCGCCAAAGAGGAAGAACCAATGTCTTCAGTTAAAATCCAGACACTTTTCCCATACCTAACTTGGGATTTTAACCTTGTTCTATCTTGTCCTCTAGTCCCTGTGTTGTTTTTTCCTGTGTGTTCCCCCTTCATGCCTGGGGACCCCTTCACCGGGGTCCTGCGTCTCTCTTGTCTGTCCCTGATCCACCGCCTGCATGAGACCTCGCCTGACCCGCCGAGTTACTGTAAAACTTCAACAAGATCTGGTCCGACGTCTCAGAGTCGGTGGAATCGGAGTCCAAAGGTCTGCGTGTCGGAGACAAAGGGACAGGCCA